TTGCGTTTTCGCCTTTTCCTGGTTTCCACCATGTTTCGAACGGGCATGCTTGTTTGGTAGTGTTTTTAAATAATCTTGAATCTGAAGTCGTTTTGAAAACAAAGAATATTTTGAAAATCAGTTGCCAGTTCGGTTGTACAAAGGGTAATCCCGCACGGTTCATATATGTTCTCAGCGCCATGCTCATGAAAGTGTATCAAAATTGCATTGAAATTTGATCGAATCGGTTGGGCGTCTTGACAAACTTCAAATTTTGCATATTTTTTTCGTGTTAGCCATTTTCCAATCTTTTTCATTCTTGATTTGTTTGATTTGCCAAATCATCATAATAATCTTTCTTAATTCGGAAAATAATTTTGCAGTTTTGAGCATCAATTCTGCCGCATTAGAACGGTCCTAATCCGATTCCAATAACGACTCATAGTTCGATTTTTTCGTTCGGCTTTGCTCGGCGCGTACGTCGTGAATTCAAGCGGAACTGTTCCTAAATCGCGCGATTTTTTAAATAATGACCAGTAGTAACTGATGAGCGTCTCTATCTTCTGCATCTGCAAGCATGAATATAGCCGGGAAAACACGCATGTGAGGTTCTCGTTTTCCTTGTCTTGCGGCAATAATCAGTGCTGATTTTCATTGAATGTGAAATCCACAATAAACCTCGATAAATGCCGTAATTTTTCGATCATATTTCCCGGTTTCGGCGTTGTAGACGGAACACAATCTCCTGGAAAAAGAAAGAAAAACCAGGAGAAACGAAAGAAAAGAGAAAAGAAAAAAAAACAGAAAGGACAAAAAAAGGAGAACAAGTAAGGAGAAGAACTGCCTGGCTGGCTGGAATTAACCCTGCAAAGAGCAATTGGTTCAAAACCAATTCCGGTATGCAAAAAAACATCCCTTCCCGGGCGTCGGAACGGGCGTCTGCTCGGTGGAGCCGAGTCGAGCTGCCCTTGCTTTCCCGGTCGAAACGGCAGCGTTGCTTAGCCCACTGTCCGATTCTGAGAAATTGATGTTCTTTATCAATAATAGGGTCATTAAAAAAACAATGGGAAATGTGGCAATAAAAACAGATTTGAACGAAGCCGAGATCAACATGGTTGCAAATTTGTCAGAATCAATCGATCCTATTCAGAACGACATGCACGACGTGAAATTTTTTTTGTCAACAATGGAAAAGCGGGAAATTCCGTCCACAACAACCAGTCACAAATCAAAACGGCAATTATCGATTTTCAATGCCCTTGACATTGCGCACGTTTTGCCCAGAGGATTTTTTTTTTGTGCCTGCTTCGAAAATAGACATTTCTATTCGGGGTCTCGGAACAATCGTAGATTGACAAAGCCGTCAGATGTGAAGTTCTGGAACCCAAAAATTGCCTCAACATTTCTAGAGCTGACAAAAAACAATCTTTCCAAAACCAATCGAACGATGTAAAAACGCAACGAAAATGCAGATCGATTAACAAGCGGATCGCATTTCAGAAAAGTATTCGAGCCCATGAAGTCCCACCAGAACGCGAAAAATGAGATCGTCAATGCGGATTTCAAAACCGCATTATTTTAATCGGTGATGAAATCGGTTTCATTCAGTACGCTGGGGATTCAAAAGGCAAATTCTGTGATCCGTTCAAGATTCACGTTTCCCCTAGAGGCTCGGACATTCGCACCGCGCATATTTTACCTCGCCTGCAACCTAGCTGTCCAACAGGGTACGCCGATTCATTGCATACATCATTTAAAACTAGATTTGCATGATTTTCACACGCAACTTGCAACTTCATCGTTGAAATCTAGATTCAAATGGTTTCGCCCCCGTCATCTATGTCAATCATTTAAATCTAGATTAAAATGATTCGCATATATTGCATCCATCTGACATCATTTAAATGTAGATTTAAATGATTCGAATACATCGTATTCATATTTCATCATTTGAATCTAGATTTAAATGATTCCTACATACATCCACTCCCATATCATTCAAATCTAGATTCAAATGATTTCACTACACTCACGCGTCGTCAATCCTCTCGAACACCGCGCATTTTACCATCGGCAAGGCTCGAGAGGGGGGAGCAAGAGGAGTAGACGAAAAGGAGAAAGAGGGAGAGGAGGTGCGGGGGAGGGGAACGGAAACGCAAACGAAAGCGAAGTGGCCGCGGAAGAGAACACCGAGACGGAAGCCGAAGCGGACGCGGACGCGGACGCGAACGCGGCGACGGCTGCGAAGACGGAGGTCGAAGCAACACGGACGCCAAAACCGAAGAGTACGCGCGGGAGGCATCGTCAAATTGAGGAGTCATTTAACAAATTACAAATTCAGAAGATTCATGGCCAAGAAGCAAAGAACTAAAGAATGAAAGAGCAAAGGTGAAGCCATCGATGAATCGATAGTCGATTGCATGTTTGGGTAATATACAATAATTTATTGCAGTGATGTCAGTTTCGTTTTCTCTTTATATTGTCAGTGTCTTTCCCAACGCGACCGCAAACAGAAAACAGCAGAAGCACATTAAAAATTAACAGCACGACCGAACATCAGAAGACATCGAATTTGTTAGATTCTCATTTTGTCGATAGAATCGCGAATAGAAACAGCAGGAAAGCACATCGTTATATTTGCAGTTTTTGACGGTATGATTACCCAGGCAAATCGTTCAAGAAAGCAAGAATAGAAGATTCGTATTTTAATGTTTTTTTTTCCAGTTTTGATTGCGTTTTTGCCATTATATGTGTTCTTTTCAGCGCGCAGTCCGAGTTGTGCGGTTCGAACGTGTAAAAGATAATAGAATTTATCATTATGCTCACGGCTTGCCTTTGTGCCAGTTCAAAGCGCGAAAGAAGAGTATCGTTTATTGTTTTACGGTTTGTTTTTGTAGTTGCCCTTGTCCGTTGTGCGGTCCAAGAATGTGGAAGACTATTATAATTTATGATTACGTTTACGGTTTCTGTTCGCATTTGTTCTATGTCAGTTCTACAGTCCGAATGCGCAAAAGAAGATCATAATTTATTATTGTCCTAACAGTTGTTGTTTGTATTTGTTTTTGTAGGCGTATTATTTCTTGTTTGTCGTTGGGTTGAATAATATCATTATTATTGTGCTTACGAGTTCTGCATTGGTTTGTGTCAGTTGTGCGGTCCGAGAGCGTAAACGCAGATTATTGTTTTTATTATCGTTATGGTTCCTATTTCTATTTGCATGTTTTGTCAGCTGTGCGGTTCGAGCGCTTGAGAAAAGAGTATAATCTATTTTGCGTTTGCGATTTCTGTTTGCATTCATTTTTTTGTGAGCTGGTATGTATTTGTTTTTGGCAGTTGTTCGGTTCGAACGTCTAAACGAATAGTATATGTTATCATTGTATTTACGTTATTGTTTTTTTTGTTTTTGTCTTTTGTTAGTTGTGTTGTCCGAGCGCGAAAGAACGTATAATTTACTATTGTATTCACGGTTTGTGTTTGGTTTTGCCTTTTGTGAGTTGCGCGGTCCGAAAACGTGAACGAAAAGTATAATTTATTTGCGTTTACGGTTTCTGTTTGCATTCATTTTTTGTGAGTTAGTATGCATTTGCCTTTGGCAATTGTTCGGTCCGAGAGTCTAAAAAAAGAGTATAAGTTATTATTGTATTTACGTTTTTTTTTTTTGTCGTTTCTTAGCTGTGTTGTCCGAGAGCGCGAAAGAAGAATAGCATGCATTATTTTGATTTCGTTTGTATTTGTATTTGTTAGTTGTGCGTTTCGACAGCGCAAAAGAAAAATATAATTTATCATATTTGCCTTGATTAGTTGTGCGGTCCGAGAGTGCGAAAGAAGAATATAATTTATTATTGTGTTTACGTTTTTATTTTTTATTTTTCTTTATTTTTGTTTTGTGTTATTAGATTATTTTTTTTTATATATGTATATATATGTATATATGTATATATATACATAACATATATATCCATTAGCCTCAGACACAGAATCTCTCTTACATTAAAAAAAAAATAAAAATAAAAAAAAATCAGGTGAAGATCGCAACAGATAGTCGAGCGAACGAGCATGACACGTGTGACGAAGAATGTTGTCACGACGTCTGGCCCCTCTAGACCGGGTGAAGCGAAAGAGGGAGGGAGCGGGAGCAAGAGAGAAAGGGCAGAGAGCGGCGATGAAAAACATCGAGAAAAGCAATTGTGCTTACATTTTGTTTTTGTATTTGTATTTTGTCAGCTGTGCGGTCCGAGAGCGCGAAAGAAAGTATAATTTACTATTGTGCTCACGGTTTGTGTTTGCATTTGCCTTTTGTGAGTCGCGCGGTCCGAACACGTGAAAGAAGAGTACAATTTATTATTGTGTTAACGCATTCTGTTTTTATTTGCATTTTGTTTGTTGCGGTCCGAGAGCGCGAAAGACGAGTATAATTTATTATTGTGTTTACGGTTTGTGTTTGCTTTTGCTTGGTGCGAAAGCGAAGAGTATAATTGATCATTTTGATTACGGTTTTTGTTTGCATTTGCCTTTGTCAGTTCGTCGGTCCGAAAGTGTGAAAGGAGAGTTTGAGTTATCATTGTGTTTACAGTTTTTGTTCGCATTTGCCTTTGTGAGCTCTGTGGTTTTAGAGCGCGACAGAACAGTATAATTTATCATTGTGCTTCCGATTTCTGTTTGATTTGCGTTTTTTTTCAGTTCTATGGCCCGATGGCGTAAACGAAGAGTATAGTTCATCATTACATTTACGGCCCGTATTTTACGAAAGAAGAGCATGATTAATCATGTGCTTACGATGCCTGTTTGCATTTGCCTTTTGTGAGCCGTGCGGTGCGAAAGCGCGAAAGAAGAGTATAATTGATCATTTTGCTTACGGTTTCTGTTTACATTTGCCTTTGTCAGTTCTTCGGTCCGAGAGTGTGAAAGAAGAGTTTGAGTTATCATTATCTTTACAGTTTTTGCTTGCGAGAAATGGAAAAGACTGGGGGCTGCCCACCACAAGAAAAACAAACGAGTCAGGCTGCTCAGAGCCTGGTGCAGCAATTGCGGCCTAAGATGGGCTGGAACGTGGCCGAAGAAGTAAGAAAGGGCACCCCTGGAAACGGCAATGTCGGGACTGCCGCAGGATCTTTGGCACGTGCAGGTGGCCCTGATGGTTCTCGCCCCGGTGTGTGGCAAGAACTGGCGCCAATTGCATTCCCAGCAATAGACTCGGGGAGCGGGTGCCGGGAATTGAGGGTACATTCAGATTGCGAGGGTGAATCAGCGCCTGAACGTAGAGCAAGTGCCGGAGCGGGCTCTGCAGCATGACTTCCCCCGAGGTCTGCGCTTGGGCCGGCTGCACCTGCTGGAGATGGAATGGCTTCAACGACAGGCTGAAGGCCATCAGGAAGAATAGGAGAGGCTGGACCATCTTGAGCCACCTGCTTGGCTGTCCAGTGCTTTTCCTTCTTGCGGAGTCGTTGGGCACGGCGTACAGCACGAAGTTTCTCCAACAATTGTACAGGATCGTCGAAGTCTTCAGCTTTGCCCTGTGCATCCTGAGCACGCTCCTTGTGCATAGTCGCTGGCACGCAGGTCCGAGCAGTCGCAGACATCACAGTGCCGGCAACCGCCGCAGCCACAGCAGCAACAGTGCGCCTCGGGGCGCCCTCCCGGATCGCCGCCTGCACAGCCGCCGCCACAAGGGAGGGGCCATCAGCAGCGTTGGCGCTCATCTATACCGAGCAAGGGGGGTAGCCAGGCAAATGCAATCGCTTGAGCCACTGACGGTCTTTGTTCGCATTTGCCTTTGTGAGCTCTGCGGTCCGAAAGCGCGAAAGAACAGTATAATTTATCATTGTGCTTACGGTGTCTGTTTGATTTGCGTTTTTTCAGCTGTGCGGCCCGATGCCGCGTAAAAGAAGAGTATAATTTATCATTGCATTTACGGCCCCTATTTTTGTTTGCCTTTTGTAAGTTGTTCGGTCCGAGAGTACGAAAGGAGAGTATCAGTTATCATTGTGCTTACGATTTCTGTTTGCATTTGCCCTTTCTCAGCTGTACGGTCTAAGAGAACATAAGAACAGTTTACTGTCCTTACAGTTTTGTGTGTTATTTGTTCTTTGTCAGTTCTGCGGTCCGATAACGCGGGAGGAGAGATGGATACATTGCTTGTTTATTTGCATCAAATCCCTCATGAATGAATTGCTCATTTCCGAGTGTATTTATTTCTAGCATAATGCATTGCGAATATGTTGACTATGAGAAACATGTTGATTACCATATGTCTTACATTATTTTTTAGACATGTGATAATTCATAAGTTCATTCAGAGGCGTCATTGCTGAGTTATCACGAGACATGCATTGATTTTAGACGTGGCAATTACACTGTCTGCATACAAGATTTTAAACAGTACGTGATAAATATATTGAGTGATGTCACGTCAGAAATGTGTTGATTCTACACGTCAGAAATATATTGACTAATCTATTTCAGAATATATCATTCTATATTTTAAATTATCGATAAGTTTCATAAATATTTGCGTTGTACTGTAATTCTTAGAATGAGTTTGTTTACCAGTTTCACGCCTCATGAGGCTCAAATGTTGAATTTTAAGCTATGTTGAAAATTTCAAGATGATTGAATCGGAGGTATTGACTACGGGACGAGAGCCGAACCCCCCCTCCCCTCCCCCCCTTGCGCCAAATCACGAAACCCAGAATACATAAACGCTCGCATTTTCCTGTGTCGAACTGGTTTGTCGTGTTGGATCGCTCAATGTGGCGCCTCGTGGCGCGACTCGCCACCGGCGGCTCGCGAGAATGGCCGGCGCAAGTTCAATGGTGGCGTCCGGACGGCATCAGACGCCCAGGGCGGCCACGTCGAAGATGGACAGATGCTGTCGATTCATTTTTGCGACAAGAGCACGGCACGAATTTAATGAATGAGATTCGCAGCCAGGAGCCTTTCCCTTGGCAGCGGATGGAAAAGCATTTTCTAGATTTCGTGAAGAGCGACTGATGTATACGACTATGTATAATTTATTGCTGCCTTGTCCACTACGTCTTGCATGCGCGGTTTGTTGCCGTAGTGTCTCACGCCCTCCGGCTCCGCTTGCAGGGCGAGGTCCCCTCGACTGGATTGACTTGACTTGACGTTCGGCGCCCTGCCATGTTTGGGGCGCGTTGAAGGCCGGCCGGCCGAGCGGCGGCGGCATTAGCCTAGCCCGCCTGCTCCTGGTCGGGCGGGTGCCGGCCGATCGTGGGAAACGCGCGGACATAGCGGATGCTCGCTCTTCGTGACAATTCCCGCAGCCATGGCCGTGTACTCCGGCTCTCAAAGCTACAGAGGCTGTTGGCCCAGCCCGAAAAAGGAGTTGGGGTCAGAAGCGGCGGAGTAGCAGGAGCAGGGTAGCACAAACAATGTTGTTTCTCTTCGCTCGTCGTCGTTCTCATCATCGCCGTCATCATCCTCCTTCCTCCCCGTTTTCCCTTGTCATCCCCCATGTTTTTCCTTGCCATGCTTCTCCATACCTTCGCCATGCTCAGAATTTCAGCGTTGTTCTTGCCTTGGGGGTCCGTTGTGCCTTTTTCCATTTTGTCATCGGTGTCCTCTTCCATCCTCCTCCAACTTCCCGGTTGCAGACCTGCAACACTTTGCAGACATGTCGCGTGTCAGAGAAAAAGGAAGGGCGGGCGGAGCACGATGAGAAGGAAGGCCAGGGGCAAACACAGCAACCACCGCCGATGCAGCAGCGAAGGTCTTGACCCCCCTCGTACCATAGGTCCGCGTCGTGTCGACCAGTGGCGACCCAGCTGCCGGCGTTCAAAGTTGAACGCCGTCGGCGACCCAGAATCAGTCGATGTTGAACGATCTGACGTTTCGGAGACGGCCGATCGTTCCAAGCCCTGGCCGAATGATCCCCGCGGTGTCAGCAACCAACGCCGAAGTCGGCACGACGCAAGCCTGCCGCAAGTAGACGCGCGCGTCGCCGCCCACCACGGCCAGCGCCCGCCTGGAAAGCTGAAGACCCCTGCGTGCACGCACGCCCTTGCCCTCCCCTCTGCGGCCCCCCTCCTTTCCCCCCCCTCCACCTGCATGCGGGCTCATTCGCGATGCCGTGTCCCGGCGTCGCCCCAACGCGCGTGCGGATCGTCCTTGCCGCGCTGCGACGTAAGAAGCGTGCGCGAGCGCGCAAATGCCCCGCGACGCGCTGACGGCTGCAGTGCTCGGCCGCTCGGCTGCGCGGGCGAGCTGGTAGCGGCGCGGCTGTGTCAGCTGCCGCGGCAGCGTCACGGCCAGCGGGCCACGGCTACGTGGCCGCGCAGCGCCGCGGCGAGCTGGTAGCGCCACGGCTGCACTCCGAGACGGAAATTTACACATAACCACCGCTTGGAGGAACGATCTCGGGTATCTCGGCAGGTGGTGGGTATGGATATGTTCGGCACCCCTGGGGCCAACATGTAATTTTCCATATCCACCGACCGCAGGGGTCCCAGGACGTCGGTTCCCCAGGCGGTGGATGTGGATATATCCCCGCCTCGCATACTCGGTGCCTGAAAAGGAGGAACTCTGCTGCCAGGCGCCGTGCAGCTGAAGTTGATAGGAGCTGCGCGGTCAACGTGTACACAGGCTCGCGACATACACGGCAAGCATCGAGCTCTCAAAGGCATGGACATAATTTCTCTGAGTTCCGCGTCGATTTCTTGGATCGGCGCTGGGCTCCCCTCGCGGCGCCTCCGGCGCCGCCGCCGCCCCTGGCCCGCTCCAGGGGAAACAGTCCGCACGGACCTTGCCGAAATGATGTGTATGCAGCTGCTTGTGTCTCCAAAGTACGTGCGAGCATATCGAGGGCACGGTTTGGAACGAGAGGCAGCCGTCCCCTCGTGCAGGTGTGCGAGACCCTCACCTATAGTTTTGAAATGTATGAGGGGCCCTCACGCAATAGCGACGTACTGAAAACGGAACGGCCTTGATCAGTTGCTTAGCGGTAGTCCGGCTGTACATGGCGTTGTCAGTTCCCGCTGCTGACCCTAGCTGAGCAAGTCTCTGGCGATATCGCCGGAGTCTGGCGTTTTCCTGGACAGCGAATACTGCAAGGGGTCTGAATTGCTGTCAGACCAAGAAACGCCCTGCTTGCCTCCAAGGTGCCCTGGGTTTCTTGGGTTTCGATCGTTTTGCTTTGGGAAGCGTGACGTTCTCACATCAAAAATCTATGCGCATCCTGGGGTCCAAGGGCTGGGTTTCTTGTGGAAGGTTTCTTGCGGTCGGGCTCCTACTGGAAGGGGTCCGAATGGCTGTTACGAGGGCCCGCTTCAAATCTTCAGAACGCGATGAACTTGTCGCCGGGGCGTCCTGCCGTGGCGTGCCCTCGTGCCGTGCCGTGCCCGGATGCCGTTCCGTGCCGTGCTTGGCGCTCTGGACTGCACACCAGCGAGTGGTGCCGTGCCGTGCCGTGCTGGGTTCGAGAATGCGAGAAGGGTGTCGTGCCGTGCCGCGCCCAGGTTCCGAGTAGGGGATCGACTGCAGAATGGATCTACCCTAGAATTGATTTTCTCGTCGGGTCATACGCAGAACGTAGATTTCCGAATATCCGATGCGCGCTTCTCATGGACCCGACGAACAAATCAACTTTGGGGTAAATCAATTCTGTAGTCGATCCCCTACTCGAAGGTTCTAGGATGCGAGAATTGTGCCGTGACCTGTCGTTCCTAGGCGTAAGACTGCGAGGACGCTTCATTGGGCCCATCTGGCATGGGCGGCAGGGGCCCTCTGGGTGAAACATCTCCAGGACATCTTTTTGGAGAAACCTCCAAATTGTGCTTGGGCATTCCCAGAATCTTCGGAACATCTCTGGACTATGTCTCTGGGGAAATCTCTGGAACATCTCTGGGCTTCGCAATATCCGGGGAAAAAAATTGGGACATCTCCGTGGTGCAGGAAGTTATGGACAATATCTGGGAAATCATATCACACCTTCCGGCGTGCAAACATCTTTGGGAAGTCTTCGGCAAATATATACACAATCTCCGGCGTGCGCAAATATTTGGAACATTTGTTTGGTAATTTCATTGAACATGCGGAACAGTTCTCATGGGTGAAATTTTGTTCGAGATTTGTTCATGCGAAGTTTTTGTTGGAGATTAGCTGGAGTATCTGATGCGTGCATGTCTTTCCCCTCTGGCGCCAGAGAGCAGACCGTCGATGTAGATCGTTCCAGGATGTGGAGCACGGTTTCCTCCGTATCCTGCCCGGCCTTGTTGGACTCAAGAATTCGCAACGGGCGGTGCGAATGGATTTCGTCTGGCCTGCGGCAAAGTACGCTTGGCAGGCTGGGCTGGCATGCGTGCGGGGCGGCAACCTGCAGCGCTGCCCGTCAGTAACCATCCGGGCGTGCCCGGCTTTCCCGAGCTGTGTTGCCTGCCTTCCGTGCCCAGGCTGTGCCGCCTGTCCGGGGGGATCGCCAGCGCCAGCGACGCTGCTTCCTTACAGTGCTGAAGCATCGGACCAGCCTGCACCCTCGTATTTCTGGATCGTGGTGCTGGTGAACGAGCTGCTGTTCATGGGTCTGGTGCTGTGGTACCTGTGCGGCTCGTGGGGAGCTACCGTCCTAGCCTTGTGACGTCGCGATGCTGGCCGCTCAGCTCGTGGCACCGGCGGAGCCGGCGCCATCGGAGATGCGCTTGTGGGTGTGGGTCCGGTACGAAGGCGAGCCATTGTGGCGCCAGCGTCTAATTTTGGGGCGTCGGGTGAGGGCGCCGACTGATCACGCTTTACCCTTCGTAGTGCTGATTTGCACCGTCGACGCGGACATCCACGAGGACAACTATTCTTGCGAAGGCGCAGACATCATTGCCGTGCGATTCGCGGGGGATTGCGCGTCCTGTCCTCCTGGGGCTCGTGCGGCGATTTCCTACCGATCCCGGCGAAACCTGACGCTGGCTGAGCAGCAGCAGATTGACCAGATGGCCCAAGACTATTGCTCATCGCCCCTGGCAGCAAATCACCAACGGGTTCGCCTTCCTGCACCTGGTGGGCCTGTGTTGGTCCCGCTGATGTTCGGGGGAGCGATCCCTGGTGCGCCTCCTGCTGGAGGGTTGTTGGCGGCGGATGGCGGCGCTGGGGCGCGGGCAGTGGCTCTGGTGGCAGCTGGAGCGGGTCCCGCACCTGGCACTGCAGCGGGCGGCGTTGGTGAGGGACTGGGTGCGCCCGCCCCGGCGCCGGCAGCGGGTGCCGCTCCTGCCCTTGGCGCGGCAGCTGGCGTTGGTGCCGCGGCTGTCTCTGGATGCGCCGGGCCATGCTGGAAGCGACCACCCTGCAGGCGCCGCAGCTCACCGTCTCGAACCGTTTCGTGGACCGTCAACCTGCGCCTCAGGTCACTGACGGGGTAATTCATGTGAAGTATGTGGACAATGCGCTCTGCTTGTCGACGAACCAGGAAGTCGCTCGCGCTCCTGCCCGGGACGTGGGCGCTCAGCTCAAGGCAGCGGGATTCACGGAGTGGAGTGCAGTTTGGGGGCCGCAGCGCCAGGCTGGCATTTCGATGGGAAGTTCATGATCATCGGCTTGAACCCTGCGCCGCGGTGGAAGTTGAGGCTGGTTTTTCCGGAGTTGCGACGGAGAGGCGCCCCGTCGGGCAAAACCATCGCCCGCGCGGCATCGCACTGCACTTCGCGCGCTCTGATCCGTCGAAAGCTTTTGCCCCGCATCAATTATCTGCGCGCTTTTGCCTCGCGGCACGGTGCGCGCACAACGAGGCCATGGCCCTCTTGTCTTCGAGAATTGCGATGGTGCTCGAATGTGGTCGTATTCTGTTTTCGGGGCGCTGGTTCTATTTTCGATGACGCGCTCACAATGGTTGATTCGCCCCGGCGGGGCGTGGGCGTTCAGTTCGAAGGCGAGGGGGGCAAAGAGAAGGAGAAGGAGCTAGACTGGGTGGCCCCTATCGAGTCCGAGGTGGAGGAGAGGAACGAGGACAGAGGGTCACAGTTGGTGCTCCCCGAAGTTCCGAACGAGTTTTGGGCGAGAGGATGGTGCCCCGTCGTGTCGCGCCGGTGGAATCGCTCGGATCATCAGGTCGTCTTCGAAGGTCGTTGGATGGTCGCGGCTGCGCGTCGCATTCTTCGGCGTCTATCATCCTTGAACCAGTGCCATTTATGCTTGGGCGACTGCATGGGAGTGTTTCTCGCGGTCACCACCGGGCGCTCGTCGCGGCGGGGGATGGGCCGAGTCTGCCGCCAGTTGGCTGACCTTTCGCTGGCCAGCGGTGCCGCCTTCTTCTGGCGCGGGGTGCCCTTCGAGCGGAACTCCCCCGATCGCGCCTCCAGGAACCCGCCTGGCGCGGGGCGCGCGTCGGCGACGGACGGCGCGTCGAGGCGGCCTCTTCTGCGCCCGATGGGGCCCTGCCGCAGGCGCTGCGCTTGGAGAGAGCCTTGCCTCAGCTGCCGCGCCCGACGGGCCCCGGCAGCTGCGCCCCCTCGGCCCCCCGCCCGGGCTCGAAGAGGAAGCGCCCTGGGACCCTTGCTGGGAGGGCCTCGACGCCCAGGGCGCCGCCGCCGCCTGGGGCCGCCCTCGCGGCCGCGGGGCCGCAGGCAGCCGAGTCGCTGGACCTTGCGTCTCGAGCTCGCCGACGGCGGGCGAAGTTCTCGCCGGGCGCCCGCTGGCAAGGGGCGAGCCAGCGGTCTGTCCTGGAGCTGCGCGCCGCGGGGAGTCCGACGGCCCTGGACTACCAGGCGCGGTGCCGCGCATTCCTGGCCTGGGTGGGCGCCCGCCCGTCTTCCGTTGGAGACGATCCCGAGCCTGGAGGAGGCGCTGCTGGAGCATTTCAACCAGTTCTACTTTGACGGGCACGACGTGCCCGACGGGGCGAAGCTGGCGGCGGCTGCGGCCCACTTCAGATTGGACCTGCCGCCGAAGCTGGGCAACCTCCCCCGCGCGCAGAGGGCGCTGAGCGCTGGCGCCGCCGAGGGCGCGACTGCCCCTGCCCTGGCCGGCGGCGGCGTGGATGGCCAGTTGGTCAGCGGCGAACGGCTCCCAATGCGGTCGCCCTGACGTTCGTCCTCTTCTTTCGGCCGTCAGAGCTGCTGTCGCTCCGAGTGCTGCTCAGCAATGCTCCATCCTGTCGCTCCGGCCCATGGCGCCTCGGCAAGTGCCCCATCCTGCTGTTCCCTGCCGAACTGGAGGCGCGACCCAAGACCAGGGACTACGACGTCAGCCTGCTGCTGGACAACCCCGAGTTCAGCTGGGTGGATCGCGCCCTGGGCCACCTGGTGAACGGCCGCAACGCCGAGCAGCCTCTGCCCATGCTGGACATGCGGGGATGGACTCGCGCATTCCATCAGGCCGTGATCGCCCTGCAGCTGGAGGCGCTGGGCCCCCCCGTGCTCCGCCAGCTGCGCCGTGGAGGGGTCGGCCACGAGACGCTGGCCAACGCTCGGGAGATCGGCGACATCGAGAAGCGGGGCCGCTGGGAGGCGGACCGAAGTCTCAAAATATACGCAAAGGGAGGGCGAGTTCAGGAACAGCTCCAACGCCTCCGGCCCCTGCAGCTCGCTCAGTCCGTTCAAAGCGCGATGATTATTGGCGCTGCCCCACGCAGCATTTGAGTTCGTGGACCCACGCGTCCGGCTCGAAGGTGCGCCATCAGTGGCTCTGGGAACTGGTCGCGGGCGCCGCGGCGAGGCTTAGCCCCCCGTTGCGCGTCTCGCGTCTTCGAGCTCGATGCGGGGCGCGAGCCCGTGCTGGCTGAAGCGCGCAGCGCCGGGCGCGCGGATGGCTCCGCGGCAATTTGTTACAGGGTGCCCAGCTCGGCACGCCGCGCAGCTCGTGGTCGATGGCTCGGAACAGACCCAGCGGGCACCGGGCGCTGCGTGATCGCGATCACCTGTTTGGCCGGCCGGGCTTGTCTTCCGCTGACTCGCTGAAGGTGACGGCGGGGAATCGATTGGCCCAGATCTCTCGCAGCTTATTTTTGGAGTGTGCCCAGCGCGGGATTCCTGCAGCTATCGAGAACCCCGCGACATCATGGGCGCGGCAAACCTGCCGGGCACATCGCGCCGTCAGACGGAGCAGCGCGAAAATTGCCGACTTTGACTGTTGTGCCTTCGGCGCCGCATGGGGGAAGAGGATTCGGGGAACATATGTTCATCTGATCTTGGACGCTCTAGACCACTGCAAATGCACTGGACGCGGCTGCAACTCCTCCTCGCACCGGCCGCGCAAGCCGCAAGAGGGGAAGACGCCGAATGGCGCCTGTTGAACCAAGGTGGCTGAGCCTTATCCGCCCGCCCTCTCGCCGGCGCTTGCCAAGGCCTATCGAGAATCCAGAATGTTCTTCGCGCGCCGTGCCGCGTTGCGCATGGCGACCTGAAGGCCAGGAGTTATCTTCGGATAATGATTTGGGCCCGTTTGATTGTCTTTCGCACGTCGCCCCCTTTTGGACGCGAGCAGCTCGCAGCACGTGGCTGGACAATGCAAGCGAACAGACGTCGTCGTGAGGCTGGCATGCAGAGATGTGCGCTGGGTGGGGGCATATGATGCGCGCGCGCCTTTCCCCTTCTGGTGCCAGAGAGCAGGCCGTCGATGCATGGTTCCCTCTCCGTATCCTGGCCTTTTTGGGCTCAACCCTGCCCGCCCGCCCTTGAGCCTGTAATGGTGCTGATCTGTTCGCTCTGCTTTTCAGGAGGTATGTCGATTGTCTTTCGCACGGCGCCCCCTTTTGGACGCGAGCAGCTCGCGGCGCGCGGCTGGGCAATACAAGCGAACAGACGTTGTCGCGAGGCCAGCCTGCAGTGATGCGCGCTGGGTAGGGATCATTTTACCGCGCGAAGGTTTTCTGGGGGCTTCGCCAGAATATTCTTAGGCCGCGGAGATGTTTAGAAGATTGACAGTTTTTTATATGGGAGATTCACGGGAGTTCTTTGGAAGTTGTTTGGAGACTCCAGTGCGGTCGATTTTGCCATAGTCGACCCATGCTAATGAGAAAAGTGCCTTGCCGTGCCCGCGTGGCGTGCGGTGCTTTGCTTGTCTCTTCAGAGCACGAAAACGGTGCCGTGCCGCGTTTGCGCGCCGTGCCCTGCCATGCACAGGTTCAACACTGCGGAGCAGGATGTGTGGCATGCCATGCCAGCGCGCCGCGTTGTGCCAGGGTTTTAGAAGTGCGCGACAAGTTTTTGTGTCGCGCAGCGCTTGGGTTCTAGAATGTAGAAAATCGAACCGTGCCGCGCTTAGGTTTTAGAGTGCCAAAAATGTGCCGCGATGGCGCGCCGTGCCGCGCGGCGCGTGTCGGTCTTAGGACGCGAGGCGTGTTCCATGCCGTGCCATGCTGAGGTTCTAGAGTCGCCAAGAGGGTACCGCGCTGTGCCCGCGCGCCGTGCCGCGGCGGGCCCAGGTTCTAAACGTGCGAAAGATGTGCGGCGCCGTGCCATACAGAGGCTCTGGAATGCGAGCCTGTGCCGCGCCCGTGCCCGTGAGCCGAGTCGCGCGGCGCCCAGGGCCGAGGGTGCAAATGACGCGCGTCGTGTCGCGCCGTGCCCGTCCGGCGTGCCGTGCACGCCTGAATAGCGATAGACATGCAATGCCGTGCCAACCCGCCGTGACGTGTCAGCATTTTTCTATTAGGAGATCGATTGCAGAATTGATTTACCCCAGAAATTATTTGTTCGTCGAATGCATGAGGAATGCGGAGGACGTGCGTGGATCTACGAACATTCTACATATGGCCCGACGAGGAAATCAATTCTGGGGTAAGTCCATTATGTAGTCGATCCCCTACTCGAATTTCTTTTGTTGCCTTGGCCGCCCACATGAACTGCGCCCCCCGCGCGCGTTGATAAGCCATGCGTTCTCATGCGGTCTTGATGTACAAGGAATTCTTTGCACGGCGAGTTTGTGCTTGAGACGAGTGTGCGCGGCGCGACGGCGAACGTTGCATGGTGGCATCGCCCTCCATTCGAATGGCATCGTGGTGCGTAGTGTATTTGCGGCATTTTGGAAACCAGCCGCAGCATCATGATGAAGAGTCAAAGCATGAGGATGAAGATGAGGATGCTGAGGAGACGCAATAGCACCAGGAGGAGGCGCCGCTGCAACAGGTGGACGAGAAGGGATGAATGGAGGAGGGATGTTGAGGCGAGGGGGGATACAAAGGAGCTGGAGGAGCAGGATAATGGAGAGGGGAACAAGGGGGGAGTAGGTGGATAAGGCTGGAGAAAAGGGGATCGATGATGAGGAGTGGTAGGAAAAGGAAGAGGAAAAAGGCAGGAGGGGAAGCAGCAGCAGAAGAGGCGCGTAGCCGCGCCCGGGTCTGTGCCCCCCCGTTCCCCGCTGTCCCGCGGGGCCGTTCGATGGCCCTGGAGTTCGACGTGGCGGAGTGGCAGCGCGAGTTGCTGGATGCCGAGAGGTCGCCGCCGCGTCAGGGACGACAGGGCACCAAGAGGACCAGAATGGGCAAGATGAACAGGAAGTGGGGGAGACTGTGAGTTCATGAGAGAGGTCGGAGGGAGTAGGGAGGAAGATGGGGGAGCAGGAAGGAGGCGGAGTGAGAATGATGGAGGGATGAGGACTAAAGGGGGCAAGGGGATGGCACGGGCTGGTTTCGCCCGGCTGGTTTCGCCGGGGCTGGTTTCGCCAGGGCTGGTTTCGCCCGACGCTGGTTTCGCCGGCGTTGGTTTCGCCCGACGATGGTTTCGCCGGCGTTGGTTTCGCCCTGCTAGCGCTGGTTTCGCCCCGCTGCTTTCGCCGGGGCTGGTCTCGCCAAGTCCGCTGCCGCCCTCGTCGTTGGCGTCGTCGCCGTCGCCGTCGTCGTCGTCCTCCTCCTCCTCCTCTTCCTGCTCCTCCTCCTCCCCCTCCTCGCTCCTCCTCCTCCTCCTCTTCCTCCTCCTCCTCCCCGCCTCTTCCTCCTGGCCCTCCTCCTCCTCCTCGTCCTCCTCCTCCTCCTCCTCCTCCTCCTCCTCCTCCTCCCCCTCCTCGTTCCTCCTCCTCCTCCTCGTCCTCCTCCTCCTCCTCGTCCTCCTCGTCCGTCCCCCTCCCTCGTCCTCGTCGTCGTCCTCGGCCTCCTTCTCGTCCTCCTCCGCCTCGTCCTCGCAGGGGCTCCTCGCTCACGCTTTCTCGCAGAAGGCCTCTGGCTGCGCACCCCTCAGCTGACGCCCCGCGTCCGAGCGCACCGGGTGCCCGAATCGGGCAGTGGGAGGGCGCCGTCGTCGTCTCCCTCCTCCTCCTCCTCCTCCTCCTCCTCCTCCTCTTCCTCCTCCTCTTCCTCCTCCTCCCCCTCCTCCTCCCCAGTCTGAGCGGCTTCTACCAGGGAAATGCGATTACTGGAGTTTGGGACCGAAATTCCGCTCTGGACCAAAGTCGGATTCTGGGCAAATTTCAGGCCCTCCTCGTCCTCGTCCTCCTCCGCCTCGTCCTCCTCCTCTTCCTCCTCCTCCTCCTCTTCCTCCTCCTCCTCCTCCTCCTCCGCCTCCGCGCTCACTCGCGCTGGTAGACGGCGGGAGCAGGTCGGACGCAGCCCCTGGCACCAGCAAGTTGGCGCAGTACGTTCGCACGTGGCCCTGCAGCGTCGTGGTCTGGGCGACGGTCCTCGCAGCCTCCTTCCGCCGGGCTCCCTGGCCGATCTTGCAGTCCCCGCTCTTTGCGCGGTCGTGCACTGACCAGAACACGGGCGGAAACAGCGGCGCCTGGCCGGGGCTTCCGCCCCACGTCCCGGCAAAGTACGCGAGAAGGCCCTGCTGCCCGCCCGACCCGACCCGTCACGCCCGTTAGGGTCCGCCCGACCCGTCCTGCCCGTTTGGGTACTCATGTGCCATTTCGATGACGCATCATATTTTAATGTCCCGCCCGCCCGACCTGACCCGTCCCGCCCGTTAGTGCCCGCCCACCCGACCCGACTCGACCGCCCGTTGGGGTCCGCCCGACCGCCGGACCCCTCCCGCTCGTTAGGCTACTCGCGTGCCAATTCGATGATGCATCATACGTTAATGTCCGGCCCTCCCAACCTGACCCGACCCGCCCGTCAGGGTCCGCCCGCCCGACCTGACCCGTCTCGCCCGTTAGGGTCCGCCCGCCCGCTCGACCCGACCCGCCCGTCAGGATACTCGAGTCCCACCTCGATGATGCGCCATACGTTAATGTCCCGCCCGCCCGACCCGACCCGACCCGCCCGTTGGGGTCCGCTCGCCCGTCCCGAACCTACCCGCCTGTTAGGGTCCGCCCGGGTCCGCCCGCCCGACCCGACCCGTCCCGTCCCGCCCGTTAGGGTCCGCCCGCCCGCCCGACCCGTCCCGCCCGTTAGGGTATTCGCGTGCCAAGTCGATGATGCATCATACGTTAATATCCCACCCGACCCGACCCGACCCGACGTCCTTCCTTCCTTCTCGTCCTTTATCTATGCTACTCCTTCTCATCCTTCATCCCTCCCTCCCTCATCCCTCCACTTCTGGGCTCAGAGATGTCCGCACTTGAGGTAATCCGATTTGGTTGGGCCCCCGAGACATCCCGTGTGCTCAGTAGCACTTGCGCGGCTTGTCGCAAGTAGGGTGGTTCTTCTGGGCCGTTTCAGTTGACGCTTCCTCTTCCTCCTCCTCTTCCTCCTCCCTCCGTTTTCCCTCATCCCTCGTACCCCCTACTTCTCTTCATCCATCATCCCTCATCCTACCGCCCTCCCTCCCTCACCCTCCACCCCGCCCTCCACCCCGCCTCTTCCTAGAGAAACGGCCGTACGTTGTTTCGATCTGCACGGGTCTATTTTCTTCGATTTGGATGCCGAGCTCCTGCCTAAAGATCTGGCGTGGGAGAGTGGAGAAAATCCCTTTCAGAGCGTAGAGGACAACGAATTCGTTGCTGGTGCTCTGGCTGGACGGTATGTCGTACCCCCGCGAGTGCTAGAGATGGTGGAAGCCGTGTCTAAATTGATCCTTGGTCTCATCTTGGACAGGAAATGGCGGCTGCCCACAGAAATCGACGAGCCGATAGAGTGGAGAAGACGGTACTTCAACAAAGAGTTGGATCGTGTGGCGCGACATGCCATGCAATGTCAGAGAAGCTTTTTGTTGCGTCAACCCGATCCTTAATTCGTTACAACATCAGCCCTTCCACGCCCTCTGCCACAGCGACGGGGGGCATAACCTGGAAACCGGGGTTACCACAGCCGCTACCGTAGAGCGGATGCGGGCGCACGTGGTCTGGCAGCCCATCGTATTCGGGGCTATCTTCGGGCAGATCCCGGGGTTCCAACTCTCCCTCTTCTTGGCCTCTTCCCTCGCCTCCAGGGCCGCTTTTGGCACGGTTGCAAAACCCGTTTCCACCAACATATCGTGCACGAGTTGTCGTTCAATTTGGCCCCCCTGACGGGTGAATAGTTGCTCGGCACATCAGTGGAAGCTTTTACCTAACCTAACCTCTCTCCATCATTCCTCCTTCCTTCATCCCTCATCTGTTTTCCTTCACCCTAATCCTCACTTCCCTCCCTCATCCCTTCCACATCCATCCCTCCCTCTCTTCTCCTTCTTCCCTCCCTCCCGCCTCCCTCATCCCTCCTTTCCTTCCTCCCTCCCTCCCTCATTCCTCCTTCCCTCATCTCTCATCCCTCCCTTCACTATTCCTCCTTTATCCTCCCTCGAGAAGTGGTACTGGGACGCGATCTCCGGGGAAACGGTCCTGGGTAGGAGGGTGCACATAGGAAACGGTTCCAGGGAAGAGGGTCCGTGGAAACAGATCCGGGGAAACGATTTCGCGGAAACGGCTCCGGGGAAGCGAATCCGGGGAGGAAACGGTTCCGGGGAAACGGTTCCGGGGAGGAAACGATTTTCCGTGGAAGCGAATCCGGGGGAACGGTTCCGGGGATGAAACGATCATCCGGGGAAAAGGTTTTTGCTTTGATCGTCGGGTGGCTGTAAGTGCTGTGAGAACGTTCATCTTACATAATCTTAGTTAAGCCATAGAACGTACACTTGTTGATCGCGCATATCATGTGTGCATATGCAATACTTATGGTGTTTGTAAGTGTATATGTAAGTAATATACTAAGTTAGCTATCTCTGCTAAGTCGATGGGGCTGAACATATTCGTGTTTGTGTTACTCATTTGCGTATTTTTTATTTGTAACTGTTTTTGAAATCCCTTGAATGTACGTTGTTGTTGTTCAGTTGTTCAGGACCGAGGCGCCGCAGGTACTTGCTGCACCTCGCGGCTGCGGCGCTGCGGGCTGCGCGCATGCCCGCGGGGAGGGAGGAGGGAAGGAGGAACATGTTTATCCATGTGTCTTCGGCCCTCCCTTATCCCCCCTTTCCTTCGGCGGCGTACCGCCTTCTCCTCCGTCGCCTCGTCCTCCGTCGGCGGTAAACCGCCTTCTCCCCCTCCCATGGCGGCAATCCGCCTTCTCCCCCTCCGTGGCGGCAAACCGCCCTTCTGGCAGCAAACCGCCTTCTCCTCCTCTGGCGGCAAACCGCCTACCCCTTCTGGCGGCAAACCGCCTTCTCCTCCTCTGGCGGCAAACCGCCTACCCCTTCTGGCGGCAAGCCGCCTTCTCCTCCTCTGGCGGCAAACCGCCTTCTCCTCCGAATGGCGGCAAACCGCCTTCCCCCCCCCGCCCTATCGGCGGCTTGCTTTGCCGCCTCCTTCCACCCCCTCGGCGGCGAGCCGCCCACCCCCCTCCTCCCTCCCCTCCCTGGCCTCTCCTTCACTTCACCCTCCCCCATAGCTCTCTTCTTCCCCCCCGCGCACCCTTCGGCACCCCCTCCCCCATCCCCCCTTCGACACCCTCTCCCCCCTGCGCCCCCCCTCACCCAGGAGGAGGAGGAAGAGGAGGGAGAGGAGGAAGGGGAGGAGGAGGAGGAGGAGGAGGAGGAGGGGGAGGAGGGGGAGGAGGAGGGAGGAGGAGGAGGAGGAGGGAGGAGGAGGAGGAGGAGGAAGAGCAGGAGTAGGATATGTCCGTCGCGCGCGCGTTGGCTCGAGCCGTTTTTGGCGAGCCCTCCTCCGAGGGCTTCGGGCGGCGTGCGCGCGCGGGGAGTCGCGCACTCCGCTCGGCGCGCGGTCGCGCCGCATCGCTGCCATGGAGGGCATCCTTCGAGGCCGCCTGGAGGAGGCGCGGGCGGCGTTCGTAGCGCGCGGCAGTGCGACGGGGCACCTTCCTGCCTGCGTCCAGGCGGCGACGTCCCAGCGCTGGTCGCAGCTCCAGAGTGCGCAGTTTGCTGCTTTGGGCGGCGGCGCGGGGTGGGCGCAGTCCGAGCTGGGAGACTTCTTGCAGGCTCTGTCGTCGGGCAGCCTGCAGGGGGGGAAGCTCCAGAACTACGAGGGGTTCATTGAATTTCTGACGCCTCAGTTGTGGAAGTTCGTGCTCTCGCCGCATTCGGGCTTCGCTGCCAAGATGGCGGCGTTCTCAGAGCACCTCGGAGCGCTTGGCTT